CTCCCCATTTCCCACAGCATGACTGTTTATCAGAAAATATATGACCGCTGCCTAATTAGCCGCAGATACTTGGCCTGCCTGCCTCTTAGTGGCAGTTCTCAGGCCATTTGTTGTGATGTTTTGTGCAGCCAATTGTAACCGTTATATAAGCCCAAGGTCATGTCTAAGAGTGTGGGTGTGTGGGTGTGTGGGTGTGTGGGTGTGTATTTGTGTCTGTGCTCTCGTGCTCTCTCATTATCTTACAAAACTAGCCATGAAATTGCAAAACAATAAACCGAAACTTAAGCACAACAAAAAAAATATATTTCTTTACATAAGTACATATGTACAGCATCTACATATATACGTATATATGTACGTATATATATATATATATATATATATATATATATATATATATATATATATATATATATATATATATATATATATATATATATATATATATATATATATATATATATATATATATATATACATATCTATATATACTCGTACAAATGAAAGTAAGAGCGAGTACAACGTTAAAGTCGCGCCAATCAGACTCGTTTATACCCTGTACTCAACTCTTCCTCCACTACAGTCCCTCAACTAAGACTTCCCTGTACGAATCGTTTTTGTGAGTCCACCTTTTTTGATCAAACCTCAGATTATAGGGAGGGACTTCAAAGAGGTATTCATGCCAAAGAAATATGCTTGTGCTATTAATATTGAATATTGCACCGATCGATCCTATGACAGCTTTATGATATAGTGCACCGATTCATATTTGCCAAATATCCTGAAGATATCTATCTTCTTAAACGAAAAAGTTATCCAACTAATCAGCGCTATGGCAGCTACTTAAAATAATGAGGCAAGTCTACGTACCAGATGTTATGGCTCAATAGTTGTGGATGTTCATACAGACGGACGGACGGTCAGACGGTCAGACGGACGGGCATGCGTATGTACGAGTACGTCGACTCGTCTCCTCATGCCGGCCACATTGTTGCCAAACCATGGAGTCTGTCATGGTGTATAGTATACCTTTGCACCCCTCCGATTACAGGGTATAATAATGCTGGTTTCGTAGTGCGGGCTGTCGCTATAGGGCTGTGTGCGTTTGTGTGTATTACATTTATTTTTATGAGCCCCCTTTACATCTCCCATCCACAACATTTTGTGCCTTAGGTTTTGATTTTGTGTTTCTTTTCTCTCTGTTTAGCCCCCGCCCCGGCAGCATTTTTCTGCATTCCCCCTTTTGCTTTTATTGTTATTAATATTTCATTTCCTCTGTGGGAACAATTTCGCTTTATTTTCGGTGCGAAATGTGCGTGTGCAACAACACACAACAAAAGGCAGCATATTCCGAGTCTCGTAATCTGTGAGGTATTGGGAAGCGACGGCAACGTCGTCATTTACTTTAACATGCCACACTTTGAGGCATTTTGTTATATTAAGTTATAAATTTCAAGGTCGCCAGGAGGCAGTAGGTAGATCGGCTCGGCAGAAGCCAGTCAGCTGCTTCACTTGGCCACGCTTTCAAGGCAGTGCCGCCTCGGTTTTGGGCGTTTGGACCCTCGCACAGTGGGGTTGAAGAAATATTAATAAGAAATAAAAGCAACTGCTTAAAGAACTCTAGCTCTTTTAATTTTCAGAATATAGGAAAGCTTTTTAATAAGAACAATTAACTTTTCTCTACACTACCTATTAAGTTAGGCGACTCTAGTTCCTTTACTTTTCGCGCTCTACGCGTTCATACAGTCAGACGAACAAATAAGCAGAGTAAAAAACTATAGAATAAGACAAACTGGTAATCCATTTATGTAGTTAACTACGCAACACGCACTTCTGCGAAATCGAAAAATCCCGTTCTTTAAGCTCAGCACCTAACACCCCACTGTGCGTTGTTGTTGGTGCTGTTCCGTCTCCGGCATTAATGCTAACTAATTGCTTGGTTAAATGACATCTACGCGCGACAATTGCCGCCATGTGAGTGTCACCACACCCCCTCTCTCTCCTCTCTCCGCTCTCCGCTCTCCGCTCTACTCTCCCTGTGCTCGAGCCATTTGCCACTAACGAACAGCGAGGCTAGAGCTGTGCGCGTGACTTAATTTCTTTTTGTTGTTTATTTCGCTATTCATGTGTAATTTATATTTAGTTTTCATTCTTGAGCCTCAAACAAGACTTCGTTTGCTTTTGAATTCATTTTAAAATTAAGCTTTCAATGTTTTTGCCGAAGCATCGATGATTGTCGATGTATCTCGTTCAAAAAAAGATCGGAAAAATCGAGTGCTTTTTATCAAAACATCGACGATATCAAAAAAAAATCAATGTTTTCTTACAACCCTAGCGTCTACCAAAACAAGGACCTGTGAGTAGCCTGGTTGGGAGTCTGCATTCCTTTCAGTGCAGTTGCAGGAGTTTTCAGACTCTGTTCAGATGATGTTGCAGTTGTAGATCTGTAGCTGCAGTTTGCTGCCCTTTCACAGCTTTCAACATATTGTCCAAATAGTATTTCAGTAATCAGCCGTGCACGAATTCTTGCCCATCTCTAGTGGCGGCTCATGTGCGTGTGTGTCAACTGAATTGCTTTTGGGGTGCGTGTGTGTAAAATTGCTGATGTGGGAAATGAAATCCATGCTTAATATTATGAAAATTTAATTTGATATTAAAGGGCAAGCCCAAGAGCCTTTTTTCTGCCTTTTTCTTGTCAGCTCAGCACTCTGTGAGTCTTAGCCTAGTCTTATTTGGCTTTAATCCTCTAATTTACCAACTGGAACGCACAAAAGTAGGCAACAGTATTTTTTTAAGTATTTCTATAGAAACACTTTCCTTATTCATTGGACTGGAAATACAATTTAAAGGCTCTTAATTAAGTCGGCAAAACACGTCAGCAAAAAGGGCCAAGCGATGTTGTTGTAATTGTTGTTGCTGTCTCTGCTCTCCACTGAGACTTTGGGGCAACACCTGCTGCGTTGCTGTGGCGCCACAACTGTTACGATTGCCTTAATGAAGGCCTTGCCCAGCACAATTATAAATTGTTAATGCCTCTTCTAACCGATTTCTGAGGTCAAATTGCAAATGCAAATGTTACGAGTCCTTGCGAGGCCAAAACTTCATTAAATGTGGAACTAAATCAAAAATGTAACCAAACAATTTGTCGTTAATAATAATTAATAATAAATGAAGCGACAACAAGCTTATGAATTCAAATTACATGCAATGCTATATACAGAAGCTGAAGTGTGCGAACATTAAATTTCATAGAATATGTATTTATGATCCGAGGTCTTCACATGAAAAGTAAAATGTAAACAAATATTTGAGTTCTGCAAAAAAGAAACTTTCTATTTGTTTACTTTTTGTGATTTTCCGTTGATGCACTTTTTCTTATTTTGTTGTTTATTGTTGCTTGTTTATGTGTGTTGCTACAATTGTTTACATTTCTCGAAAGTACGCTTTCGTTTTAAAATTATTTTTGGCCCAAAATATATGCACGCACTAGAACTTTAAATGCATTTTTCAAATTAAATCAATTAAATAATTAAAACATTGAAACATGCATTTTTTATGTAAACATATACACTCTGGATTATCAGATGCTCTTGTGTTGTTGTTGTAGCTAAACGACTATTCAAAGACGTGAAAGGATTGCAATTTGAGAACAACAAAAAACCTAATGTGGCTGAAAGGGAAATGCTCGGGCCAGTCCACTCACCAGACTCCAATTGACTTGTAATAGGAAATTCTGGAAATGGTTGGTTCCAAAAATCTGCAAATCCACAAAACTATACAAGTATGTCTACAAAGCAGAACTACTGGATTGTATTAGAAATCTTAATAGGTTTCTTATAACCATATTCAAAATTTCATTACAAATCGGTGCACTATAGTTTCTCTTGTAGTTTTTATTATATATTTCGTTTTAAAATGCGATTTCATATTAAAGTTGTTATACAACTTATTTCAGTTGCAGGACTGTGGAAAGGAAGATGGAGTATGGCATTATTACTAGTTACATATTTTTAATTATAGTTTTTTATTTTATTATATTTTGTAAGTCAACAAACAATGACTGTTGACTTTAGGAAAATTTATAAAAAAAGCCGTATAAGCTAGGAAAGCCGAAGTAGAAGAAATCTAATCAAATTCTAATCCGACTCGATGGGGGAACATTATGTGCCTCTCGGGGCGTCATTGAATCAACCAAATAAAAAGAAAAACTTAACAGAGAAAGGAAAATCAAATCAAAAGCCCCCAGCCAAATAAAAAATTACAAATCGATCGACACCGTGCTTAATATTGGAGAAATTTAAATTCACTAAACCCTTCTGGACTGCTGCCACAAGAATTGACGGTGAAATTCGGAATTGCAATCGTGCTTTTGAGAAATTCAAGCCATGTGCAATGGGACGATGCTGCTTATTAAGGAAAATAAAACATCAAATACAAGTATATTTTACAGAGAACCTCTGACCCAATAAAGAATAACAAAAAAATCTAAAAACGAACAAAAAATCATTAAAATAATTGTAATGTATTAATGATTTACACGCGGTCTTCAACATTATGCTAGGTCTTTATTCATTGCCACTTCATTCCGTTCTCTCTTGCTGCTTACATTTTCTCTTGCTTATCAACTTAACTTAGTGTGGCAGTGTTGGTTTTACTTAAAAACGGCAAACAACTCTTAACATCCAACAATAATAATATCCAAAATAAATTTCACTCCTTCTTAGTAACTCATAGCTAAAAGAAAGGTGTATGTGTGTCAAGTGTGTGTGTGTTATAAAAAATTTGTGTAAAAATACCCGTGCGAAGCAGAGGCAGGACGCTAGTAGATTATAAATATATACCTAATATCGACATGTTGCCAGCTTCTGATGTTATTCTTAAAGATATAGTAGCCTTAGCAAAACCTTTTATCTATACTGTCAACATTTAATTGGCATTTTTTTGTTTTTAAGGAGTAAAAGTTATTTTTTGATCGTTTTTGACAAAAAATGAAGCCTCAACGGGAAAGTATGTTCGCAACATGTCCTTTCTCTAGCGAGCATCGAACTCTCCGCTATCTACTGTGGAGGCATATGCAGTATTGTCCTGAAAATCCTGACAATAAGAAGTTGGAGAATGAGAAGCCATCGCATACTAAAGAACTCCAGCTACGGGACAGCCTGGCTGCCCAAAATTCTCTTGCCTCATCAAAGTCGGCAGAAGAGAACATTCCGACGGCAAGGAACACCATAGAACAGTCATCGGCACCACAAGAGAGTGAAGAGGAGGGCTGGGATGCAGAGCCACCTGCACCCCCAAATGTGTATCGTTCGAATCTTAAGGCAGACATAGTCGTAGGTGCGGTGGAATTCTCTGAGCCACGACATAGTCCAAAATCTGCAGAACATCTGCAGAAGGGAGCACAAGCGGATTCGACATCATGCCCTGAGCCGCGGCAGCGTCCTCCGTCTCCATACCCGCCCCTGAGAGAGAGTGAAGAGAACTGGGATGCAGACCCACCTGCACCCCCATATGTGTATCGTTCGAGTCGTAAGGCAGACGTAGTCGTAGGTGCACTTAGTTTCAATTCTAGGTCATTACGCCGCCACTTTACAGTAGGTCATCAGCTATACCCCAAGAAAATACTTGAAATTGATGAGCGTTTTAATGCTTCAAATGAAGACGCATCTGAACTCTAGGTAACTACGACTACTCTTTAAGATAAGTATTTTTATGGCTTATATTTTTAAATGATCTGTGTTGCAGAAACCATACGTTCTATACCCAAATCAAGCAATCCAGAACACACAACTATGGTTAAAACAGAAGACACTGATATTTCCAGGAATCAATAAATTAATCATTTAACAAAAGTAAGCATAAATGCACCTTTTGTAATCCGTATATTAATACGTTGCTTTCCAGATTACGATCATGAAAGTTCGTATATACTTTAAGCACTATTTATTCCGTGTCGAGACCTGAGACCTGTTGTCTCTAAACACCTTTCAACAATCAATTAGAACACTTGAGAAATTCATACCTATATAAAAGACTCACACAAGATCTTCACTTATCACAGGTAAGTGTACGAGTACAGTTTCGGTCTTACAATTTCACATTTTTTATATGCCCAAAAAACCGAATAGGTATTTCAAATTGATCCGACCTTTAAAACTATTTCCAACAGTTGTTTTCCAGATTACTATCGTAGCCAAGTATGGTCCAAATGTATCCGAACTATATATCTGTGATTCGTTCCGAGACCTGAGACCACATCAAGAACCAAAAACTCAATAACACCTATAATGCTATGAAACAACAGCAGAAAACTGAAATAACTCACAATTTCAACGGATATTGAGACTGTTTTTATATAATTCTTCAATAAACAAATAACGGCTGGTGTTTAAAAAACACTCTATACACACATACATACATATATCAACTATTTTCGGGTTTTATTTTAATATCCAGTGTATCCTTTCATTTAATTTCTTCTTTCTTCTTTTCTAATTTTAATTTTAATCTATAGCTTTTTATCCGTCCTTATCGCTTAGTCCACGAAATCACATTTCGTCAATAGAGGGCAGTACTTAGTAAGATTTTCTGCAATCTACTCATCCTGCAAATGGTTGATTTAACCTCACTGATAAAAGATGTATGTATGTATATGAAAAAAAAAGAAAAACAGGAATGAATTAAGATTTTGGAGGGCGCATCGGATATACATACATACATATGTACTTTTACGAGTATGTAGATTGATTAGCCTTGTATCTTATATATCTTGTGTATCTAATATATCTTATATATCTTATGTGTCTTATATATCTTATATATCTTATATATCTTATATATCTTATATATCTTATATATCTTATATATCTTATGTATCTTATATATCTTATATATCTTATGTGTCTTATATATCTTGTGTATCTAATATATCTTATATATCTTATGTGTCTTATATATCTTATGTATCTTATATATCTTATATATCTTATATATCTTATATATCTTATATATCTTATGTATCTTATATATCTTATATATCTTATATATCTTATATATCTCATATATCTTATATATCTTATGTGTCTTATATATCTTATATATCTTGTGTATCTTACATATCTTATATATCTTACATATCTTATATATCTTATATATCTTATATATCTTATATATCTTATATATCTTATATATCTTATATATCTTATATATCTTATATATCTTGTATATCTTATATATCTTATATATCTTATATATCTTATATATCTTATATATCTTATATATCTTATATATCTTACATATCTTATATATCTTATATATCTTATGTGTCTTATATATCTTGTGTATCTAATATATCTTATATATCTTATGTGTCTTATATATCTTATGTATCTTATATATCTTATATATCTTATATATCTTATATATCTTATATATCTTATGTATCTTATATATCTTATATATCTTATATATCTTATATATCTCATATATCTTATATATCTTATGTATCTTATATATCTTGTATATCTTATGTATCTTGTATATCTTATGTATCTTATGTATCTTATATATCTTATATATCTTACATATCTTATATATCTTACATATCTTATATATCTTATATATCTTACATATCTTATATATCTTATATATCTTATATATCTTATATATCTTATATATCTTATATATCTTATGTATCTTATGTATCTTATGTATCTTATATATCTTATATATCTTATATATCTTACATATCTTATATATCTTATATATCTTATATATCTTATATATCTTATATATCTTATATATCTTATATATCTTATGTATCTTATATATCTTGTATATCGTATATATCTTACATATCTTATATATCTTATATATCTTACATATCTTATATATCTTATATATTTTGTATATCTTATGTATCTTATATATCTTATATATCTTATGTATCTTATGTATCTTATATATCTTATATATCTTATATATCTTACATATCTTATATATCTTATATATCTTATATATCTTATATATCTTATATATCTTATATATCTTATATATCTTATATATCTTACATATCTTATATATCTTATATATCTTGTATATCTTGTATATCTTATGTATCTTATGTATCTTATATATCTTATATATCTTATATATCTTGTATATCTTATGTATCTTATATATCTTATGTATCTTATATATCTTATGTATTTTATATATCTTGTATATCTTATGTGTCTTATATATCTTATATATCTTATGTATCTTGTATATCATATATATCGTATATATCTTGTATATCTTATGTATCTTATATATCTTATATAGTCCAACACAACTACATCACATGTCAAGAATAATTGGGAATTAATTTAAGATTAATCTAAGCGGACCAGATTTGCAAACAATTCGCTCGCGAATTTGAAAAGTATATCGCAAAGTAGTTGTTTGCAGCAGATACGTATGTTTTAGAACAGAATGCTTGACTTTGTTGAAGTAAAGTACTATTTTTCCCAAATTGGAATCTCTCGTACCTTCGCGACGATACTCTTTAAGCTGCTTACACAAAAGAGTTCAACTCTAAAGCAAGACTCCATTCTACTTGCTTGCCATTCGCTATGACGCCTAAAAGCAGACTTTATGCAGCAGCAACTCAATATATATGCGGTCTCAGGAGGGGGCAAGCCACAGGGAATCCAAAGAGGAGCAAAAAAGAAAAAAGAGTGCTTTAAGCGCACGCACTTCCTAGCTGTTGCCACCCATCTATTTTATTTATTTTACTGCTTTTTTGACACCAAATGCTGTTGTTCTTCGCAATTTTGTTGCCCTCTTCAAGTGTCACTTTGGATTTTGTGTCTGCCTCGTGGTGTGTGGTGTGTGTGTGATTGTGTGAATGTGTGTGCCGCATTGACACGTGGCTGCTCGAAATTGAAATGTTGGTGGTTTTGGAGCCGCTGCTCATCTTGCCGCAGCACAGCTATTAGGCGTGGAAAACTGCCCCAAGTGGCACTTAGCAAACGCTTAACGAGAGACCCTCGTATGTTTGTGAGGTTTGTTTGGTTTTTTTTTTTCATATTTGGAATTTTTTCGCTCTGGCCCTAAGCCCTTTAAGATGTCGCTCGACACCATCATCGCTGGCCACCTGCTGTTTTAATGACCAACGGCATTGGGTGCTGGAACATCGCTCACAAATCGCTCGACTGTCAGAATTTTGGTTGGAGCAGCCACCCCTTCCCTCTCCCTCACTCCCTCTCTGTCTCTCTCTATCGCTCTCATTTCCAAAGCTACACATTTTAAGAGCTTAGCATCGTCATCGCCATTAGAGAACTGCATGACGGCATTCATTTGCATTGGAAAAAAGGGTGCATTCTCTTTTTAGTTACAACTTTGGAAACCACACCGACGAAATGTACTCTCTCTCTCTCTCGCTCTCTTTAATACCTAGTTTTCTTAGAGTATCTTAATAAACAAAAGTTGTTCCTATTAAGCGCGAGTTTTGCAATAATCCTTCCTTTCGCAGCTATATAATATAATGAGGTCTGAAATAAACTTTCCCCATGTTTGCATAAGAAAAGTCTACATGCATACCAAGCTTGGTATCTTTAGGTATTATGGTTGCAAAGCTCTTGAGGTTCATGCGGACGGACAGACGAACAGGCCGATATGTGCCTATAACAGGGAGGTCTGTCTGGGAGCGCATAGACTTTAGAGGATACCCTATAAACCTCGGGGTACAAGGCATCATTCAAATGCAAGAAAAAAACATTCATTCATTCAAATCTACACAGTACAGTACGTACTCTGTAGTAGCAACTAAATGAAACCAGGGTAGTACCACTTATCGAGTTGTTGTTGCTAAACTTAATGTGTATTAGAAAAAAAAAGTATTTAAACATACCATATTTCTGGGAAATTTTTAAAATACCTCCCCTTTTTTTGATTCGTGTAATTGACTTAATTTATCTGAAAGAGGAGAAATCTTGGCTTTATTGTTTAGTTTTAATAAATTTTTTTCATAAAACACTACCGCAGTGTCCGGAAATAAACTGATAATGAAAGATAATTTCTCTAATGTTAGGCAAACAAATTCAAATTTGCAAAACACTCAAGAATGAAACGTAGGTATTCGATTATAAATTTACAATTATAGAGAAAGTTTTGATTGAGAAGTTGCACTTGTAAAGCTAAGAAGGCTATGTTTTGTTGAGTCCCCGAGTTCGTCCTATACTATCATTCATAGAAATCAAATGACTCAGCTAGGCTTTTGGAGGCATTCGTGCAGCACTCTAATGGCCCTCGCCAACGCTATCGTTGGTAACGTGAAGTGCCTTTACCTTACAGCTTACATTAATATGCATATACGTGTAAGTCTGGCACTATGTGTATGTGTGTGTGTGTAAGCGTGCTTGTATGTATGTGTGTGTGTGTGTGGGTAGCTAAACACATCGTAATGCCAGCGTGTAACTAAAAGCTTAGAGCGACACATAAAGAGTGCAGGCTGGGGGCCCGACATGTCGACAGACATGCATTAAAAATAATTAAATTTCCCAGCCAGCGAGTTGCATAACAAGTTGACAAATGACGGCGGAAATTTGACAGAAAATTAAAATCTCCGAATACAAAAAACAGGCACTAGAAAAAAGACCAGAGCAAAAATGTAAAAAACTTTTTAGCAACACTCAAAACAATAGCATTTGTAGAATTTTGAAAAACGACTTAAAGCTAGGGACTTTAAGACTATTTAAAAAAAAATTGGAAATATATTTCTTAAATTTAAGCTTCTCAATTTTAGGAAAAGCTTTTGTCAAATTAGAAAAAAAATGTTGCTCAAAAAGGACCTTCTGCTCATCAGGATTCAAGAGCTTTAAGATAAATTGAAAATTCGTTTGAAAAAAAAAAACAAAAGCGAATAAGGCAGAGCTTAAAAAAAATTAAATATTTTAAATCAAAAATTAACTTATTTTCGGAAAATAGATTGGACATTTGCGAAAGCTCCAGGGCAGAATTAAATAATATTATATAATAAAACAATTGTTTTTTCTCAAAACTACAGCCAATTACTTTTCTTTGTAATTTAAGGCAATTTTCTAAGTTTTTTCCCCGAGCGCATATATTAAGTGATGGGATTTTCAATAATCTTTATAAGATGAATCGTGATTTAGAAAGCAACTGGTTTAAGAAAAGAGTTGTCTGAAAAATTATTATTTTATTGGAAATTACTGGATGTTGGTTAATGCTTAAGATGGATCACTTACCAATGATATGGCAAAGTTTTAATCGTATCGGGCCTATGTCTATAGATTAAACTTAAAAATTACCTTTGTGGTAAACAACAATATATTAAAAATACAAACTATTTCTCATTCGGAATACCACATAAAAGAAGACTGTCTCAAAAAAGACGTGT